AGAAGGAAGGAAAAACAGGCTCGCAACCTAACATGAAAAAAAGTTATAAAGAATACAGGTGAGTTTTTGAGAAATTTAATAAAATTGAGACGGAGAGCTATCCACGTCCTTTTTTTTCCCCCCAAGGCACTCCACCATGTCCCATAGAACCCTATCTGACAGATGGGATTACACCACTCCACAGAATTCTTGCAACAGCAGACTATGTATATGAAGATGCAGGGAGTTGTATGCATCCATTGATCAAACAGGAGAGCTACCACCATTCCGTGGGGTGGGCCATGCCAGAACCTTGGATTGAAAGCAGTTAGTTGCCAGGCTGTGGCTGAGTAATTTCCCTTAATTTAAATCTGCCACAGAGGATGTTGAAAAGGCGGAACGAATGGCAGCAGGCACATTTTTTGAGGATTACGAGCTTCCTATGCATGACTTTGTATGTGTGTGTGTGTGTGTTAATATTTTAAGCTGACTTCTAAAACCGGTAAACAATGTGCTGCTCGTGCTGGTGGATGGTGTCGGATGACCTCTTTTACATGCCTGATTATCCCGTCAACATGTATAATGCCTTTGATATTTCTTTCTCTTTGGGATTGGATCTGTTAAGCAGTTACAATTTCGCTTCTGCTAGGCTTGCATTACTCTCGGCTCCGCATCCCCTGGTAATATATGTTGACATTAATTTCTGTAGATTTAGCAATGAAGGATTGTTAATTTATTCATGGTTGAAAGAGATCTGAAATGGGGGGGGGAATGGTCTCTAGGACAAATGGGGGTGGGGGGGAATACACATCTTGTATGTCACAGAAGGCTGATCTTTCATGCCTGTTTGTTTCGCGCAGAATAATGAATGCCCCTTCCTGATTAACAGTTTTGACCTATTTAAAGATGCACGGCTCTTCTCTGTTTTGCGTCTTGAACAATGTGAACCACACATAACATTTTACAACCCATCCGCTGCAGCATTTGTCTTATCATTATTGTACGCCCGCAATGGGAATGTAAGCAACAATGAAAGATTTCCATGGTTCTGCGTTGCAGAGATTATACAGATGAACCTATTGTGTCTGCAATTTAAACCTACCAAAAAAAGCCCTGGCCATGTTAATTTAACCTAATACATAAAGACAAAGCTGTGCTGGATATTCCAGCATGGGTCATTAAAAGATCAAAATTACATTTATATTTACAAAGAGTATCCTCTCTGTATTTTTTATTCATGGTTTAGAAGGCTTTGTTTTGGAAGGGTGTAGTAAATCTGTGGATTATATATTCACCAACTTTTTAGGAAGCTGGCCCAGTCTTCTCATGCATAGTAGATTCACTACAAACACACACGCACGCACGCGCGCGCGCGCACACACACACACACACCATACTGGTTCAAAGGATTTCCAAAAACATTAGTTCACAGGCTAACAAATAACATGTTACCAATTTGGTTTTCTTTTTTTCTGAAACAAAGTTATCTTTCTGCTAAAGACAACTGGGAAATTAACTTCTAGTTTGTCTAGACCAGAGGTTCTCAACCTTGGGTAACCCAAGTGTTCTTGGAATGCAGTTCCCAGAAATCTTCACTGCCAGCTGTGCTGGTGAAGTTTCTGGGAGTTGCAGTCCAAAATCACCTGGGTTGATCTTGGACTGCAAGAGAACCACTGGTTTATAGGAAGTTAAGATGCCGAATGGAAGGACAGATCCTGAAGCTGAGGCTCTAATACTTTGGCCATATCATGAGAAGAGAAGACTCCTTGGAAAAGACCCTGATGTTGGGAAAGTGTGAAGGCAAGAGGAGAAGGGGATGACAGAGGATGAGATGGTTGGACAATGTCATCGAAGCGACCAACATGAATTAGACCCAACTCCGGGAGGCAGTGGAAGACCGGAGGTCCTGGCGTGCTCTGGTCCATGAGGTCATGAAGAGTCGGACACAACTAAACAACAACAAGGTGCCGAAGACGCATGAAGTTATCTAGAAACACAGAATAGAAAGCTATAGAATGATCAAGAGTCGGACACGACTAAACAACAACAAGAAGATGCAAAAGACACATGAAGTGATCTAGAAACACAGAATAGAAAGCTATAGAATGGTCCTTTCCATCTCTACAGAATGGAAAGAACCTTCAGTGAAATATAAGACTTGTCTAGTCCAGCATCCTCTTTTCTGCAGTGGCCAAGCAAATATCTCCTGGGAAGCCCACAAGCACATTAGCACTAGTCCACTGGTCCAGAGAGGTATGCCAGTTCAGAAAGCGGCGCATAGCCATCATGACTAGTACCCACTGATTGGGTATGAAAATTGGCCAAACCCTTTTGTATTGACCATCACTCTATCCTGAAATCTCCCACCATCTAACTCTTGTTAGATGTCCCAACTAGGGATAACAACAAAAATTTAAAAATGGAGAAAAGTGTCTACCTTCATCATGTCTCTTTTTCACACTTCTTTCTACACTAAAATGGCCAGTAACTATACCCAGATGTTCAAGAGCAGGATTAGGCAAAAAATCATAACATCTCTCTTAAAAATCAGCTACCTGTTTCAACCACTCCTCTCAGTCTATGCTGCTAAAAGTGGCCACTGTGAGGAAAGCAAAAAAAGGCATTGACAAGGAATCAGGTCATTTTAGTGGTGGCCCCCAGTCTTTGGACTAAGGTGCCTTGTGAGATATGCCAGGCGCCTTTCCTCCTTATGTTCAGGAAATCGGTGGAATTATTCAAAGCTGCCTTCAACAGCAAACAGAATTATTCAAAGCTGCCTTCAACAGATGATTTTCCTGAGTGCTGTTAATTTTAATGTTAATTTTATTCCCCACCTCTTTTTGTATGAATTTCAGTCCTGTACTGATAATCATCATATTGTTGAATTTATTTTGTTATGTGGGGTTTTGTGGGATTTACATTTTAACTTGTAAACCACCCAGAGTAGTGCTTCCACTAATAGATTGCTATATAAATCAAAGAAATAAAATAATTTTTTAAAAAAATAAAGTATAACAGAATCTGCTTTAGATTAATGGATCATTTTTCAGGAGATAAGCAAGAGCTTCTGATTTCCTATTATTTAATATCAGATATAATATTAAAATACCTTATTTCCTCCTAAACTAGACTAATAGAAGCCCTAACCTGTCTGTTTGTATTTGTGCATGCAGTAAGAAGGTTCTCTGTCACTGCTATAGTGGATAATTTGCTCCATTCCCTGACAGACAATTTCACATCTGTTTTCTCCATTTTCCATTCCCTGACAGACAATTTCACATCTGGTTTCTCCATTTTATGATAATACTTGTGTGCCATCAAGTTCATTTTAACTTATGGCAACCCTTTCCAGAAATTTCCAGGTAGAGAATGCTCAGAAGTGGTTCCTTTCTTCTGGTGGCATTCTATGACTGTGCAGCTTGCCCAGGGTCACTTTTCTTCTGGTGGCATTCTATGACTGTGCAACTTGCCCAGGGTCACACAGGCTGGTTCTTCTGGAATGCACAGTAGGGAACTGAACTCTCAGCCTCTGGCTCGTCAGTGCACTATCCAACCCACTTGTTTATACCAGTTCTTAGGCTGGTTCTTCTGGAATGCACAGTAGGGAGCTGAACTCTCAACCTCTGGCTCGTCACTGCACTATCCAACCCACTCGTTTATACCAGTTCTTGTTACACCTTTTGGCTCTGTTAAAAATAGTTCTAGTAAAACTGTAGTCTACCCACTTTCTAAAGTGTGGGTGTAATTTGTAACAAGGAACTTAATTACCTGTAACAGTTATTTCTTGGGTAATAAGCAATGTACCAGGTAGTTATGCTGCAATATAAGGAACATAGCAAGTTGGGACAAAGTTACTTTTCAAGGGCAACAAGTAACATTTTCTACTTGATTAATCTGGGTAACTCCCAGAGCCTGCAGAGTGTTTTTTGTGTTTGCATAGTGTCCAAATTCGGTGAAAATCCACCCAGACATTTTTCATGACATAGTAACAAATGGACAGAGAGAAATAAACATACTCATATTTAAAGGTTACCAGGAGAGTTATAACCAGAAATAGGAGCAGAAGGAGAATCCTGAAGTTTGAATATGCCAATCCCAGGGCATAGATAAAGGAAGGTGGTTTGTTTTTCTTGGTTTCTTTGTTATCCACTTTACTTTCTCCCAACTGAAAATAATCACATCCTTTTATATACAACCTTGAGCTTTTACAGGTCAGCTAGCATCTGAGAGATACAGTAGTGCAAAAGAAGGTCTCATGATCACAGTCTCAGGAATTGTGGTTGATAAAGATATTTGTTTTCACTTCTTCCAAGCCCCTGGGATCTGGAAACGCTACTGATCCGTCCTCCCTATCGCCCTGCAAAAAATAAAAAATATAAAAAACCCACAACTTCAATAGTAAATTAATGAAATAAACACCGTGAGGAGCAAAATGTGCTGCCAGGATATGACTTTTGTTGTTGCCTAGAGACTTCCTTCTTTCACAAGAAGTATTTGGGGCTTGGAGACTCATTTTGGTTTAGCACAAGGAGAGAGAGAGAGAGAGAAAGATCTTTGGGAAATGAATCAAATGTAGTTTTCCTGGTTTACACAAAGGAAAGACATTTTAGAAGAAATGAACAAAGCAGCAAGTTATTATAAATCTCTGAATGACCCCATTCTCTTAAGTGCCCTCGACATCTTCACTTCATGGTCTTCAGATACACAATGGCCATAAAAATCTATTATACATAGATTTTGCTGGATAAATTACATCTGATTCATCTCCCAATGATTTTTCCCTGCTTGTCCTAATCTGGAATCAGTCCCTAAGTCTCAAATACTTTTTGTGTGTGTGAAAGAAGGAAGTCTTTGTGAAAAAAGGAAGTTTCCTTCCATTTCCTATACACCCCTTTGTGACATCTCAGTTCATCCGAAAGTGCCCTGTTGCATCTACCCCAGTTTCCTTCCCGTTTTTCTATCACATGGAAATAGTTTACAGCTCTGCCTTCAGTGTCTTTAAGAAATTCACATCCATCAAAGTGCTGGTTTTAATCCAAAAAGACCTAAGTTGCTCGGGCCCAAGTTATCTCAAAAACAGTGTCTGCCTTTATGAAACTGTCCAAAGGTGCATTTGGTGAGGAAACAGGAGAGGGCCTTTTCCGTTGCTGCTCCCAGACTCTGGAACTCCCTCCCACAGGAGGCCAGGTTAGTTCCATCTTTGCTTTCCTTCTGCGGCAGGCAAAGACCTTTCTTTTCAGGCAAGTTTTTCCTTAATGACTGACTAGAAAACAAGGAATGGGATGGTTTATATTTTGTTGCTTCTAAATTTGTTATTCACAATGCTTTTGCCTAACATTTTTAATATAATGTTATTAATTCTTCTTTAATATTTGAATGATTTACTCTTTTAATGTTCTATTTTTAATGGTGTAATCCATCTCAGGGGAAGCAATCCTGGAAAAGGAGACAATGTGATGTTTGTGTGTGATGTGGCTTTAAAGTAGGGTTTTAAGTTTTGAGGGCCAAATTCTAGCTCTTTCCGTTTACTGCAGAAGGCCCAGGAATAGCCAAAAATGTCAATTTTTCAAAAAAAAAAAAAAAAACAGGAAATGTCTCTAGATGGACATATCTAAGGTATGAAGAAGTCTTGGGGGACCCACTCAAGGCTGAGGAGCTCCAAGGTGTTTTCCAAAAACCAATATAAGCCATTTTAATCATCATTCTGATTTTTTAAAAACTTTGGGGCTTGGGGAAGCCCCTGGGGATTGCAAAAGTGTTCCTCAGAAGGGTGGGGGGGGCTCATGTCTTCCCTGGGCCTTTCGTTTCTCACCCACCTAACTTTGAAATTTAAGCGTTCATCTTCATTCATCCCTGCTAACATCAGGACCGCAAATATTTTTTTAAACAGGGTTGCTGATCTTCTCTTTAAAATTATTTTTGTTATTCTTTTTCTGATTTTTTTACAGTGTTTTTAAATTTTTTTAAAAAAAGTTAATAGGATTTAAAAATATTTGTGTTGTCAATTTGTCATTTGCCTCCACCACCATTTTATAAGGCTCTTCGGGGCCCTGGATTGAGAGAAAGGCAGAACAGAAATAAAAGAAAATATCTAAATGAGTGAAGATCCTGGGTTGCTCCAAATCACATGATGGTCCCAACTCCCTATACCCACAGTCTCTCTCCCTGGTCTGTTTCCTTTCCTCCTCTCTTTTTGGCAAACTGATCTTAGGCACATCCTGTCATTTGGACCAAGGCAGAGAATAGAGCACCACCATCATGCTCCATGAGCCTTCTTATTTGCACCAATCCAGCGCCTAAAGGCAAGAGGAAAAAAACTCCCCCTTTCCGACCCTTGCCTGCCCTGCCTCTGTGACATCATCACAAGGTCCAATCCCTGGTTTCAGATTTTGTCCCTGACATCTCAGAGAATAGGATGCTGGTGGCTTACCAAATCTATCCAGCGGTCTACAGTAGAACAGACGTGCTATTTCATTAATTATAGTGATATTTTTCTTTTAAAAAATGCCTGCTAAAGAGTCCTTTTGTTTCTTTCAGCTCCAGGGTTCCTTGAAAAGAAAACTGGTGGTTAATCTGTCACCATCCAATAACAAGAGGCTGAATGGCATTGCCGACAACTCCCTTCTTGACATTAAGAGGCTCCGTGTTGGTGATAATAACCTTTCTATGGGACGAGGACACTGTGGTAGCAATTGCCAAAATCAATCCATGTTGGGATCCTTGTCAGCTGGTCAAATTCCTCAAAGGAAGGTCAGCAGCCCAACAAATAACACCCACTCCAATGGAAACGGGATGTTTAACATGGCTCTAAAAGAGGTGAAGAAAGAGCCAGGAGAAACGCTCTCGTGCAGTAAACATTTGGATGACCAGGTATCCCAAGGCAATCCTTTTCCTAATCGATATAGGGAAGACACAGGAGAACAATTAATGGATCCAGAACTTCAGGAACTGTTCAATGAGCTGACCAATATTTCTGTGCCACCCATGAGTGACCTTGAACTGGAAAATATGATAAATGCCACCATCAAGCAAGATGAACCATTTAACATTGACCTTGGACAGCAGATCCAGAGAGCGCCCCCTGCCAGATCGTCGTCGTCACTGCAGGTGGACAAAATGGTGATCAAGCAAGAGTATTCGCCAGCTCTGAATCAAACCTCCATTGGGTCTCCCCAAATGAGGCCGTCCTCCACGGGTCCCGTTTTCACCATGTCGACGGCTGCCATGTCCACCTCCTCACCCATTCCGTCAGCGCCTCCGACACCTCCCTCCCAAGCCTCTTCCATTCCCAACCGGCCTTTGGCCAACTGGCAAGAGGTTTCTCATGCCCAGCAACTGAAGCAGATAGCAGCCAACCGACAGCAGCATGCGCTGATGCAATGCCAGCAAAACCAAGCCCCCTCTGCCTGGCCTGCCTTGTCCTCTGCAGAGCCTTCTGCTGGGTCATTTGCTCAGGAGAAAATTTCCAGCCCTTCATTCCAGCAGCAGCAACAGCAGTTCAGCCCACAAAGTTCTACCATGTCCGGAGTCCCGTTAAATGGGAATCCACCCAAAGGGATGAATAACTACATCTACCGATCCAGTGCCATGTCCCAGGGAACCTCACTAAACGCCATGATGCAACAACAAAAGCCTCTTGACCTTGGCAGGGGATATATAGGCAACAGCCAGCTGCCGATGGAGGAACCTCAAAACAACATCAAGCCTTTGTTTCATTTCAACTCGGAGCAAACCGCTCAGCAGATGCCTCCCATTCTGAGCTCTCAAAACAAGGCTTCCCTTCTGCACTACGCGCAACAGCAGCCTAGCGCCGTAGCTGTGCAGCAGCAGCAGCAACAACAACAACATGCACAGCAGCAGCAGCAACAGCAACAACATGCACAGCAGCAGCAGCAGCAGCAACCTGCTCAGCCCCTGCAAAGGCCACCAAGCATGCCCTTAGCTTTGCAGCAAAAGATCATGATCCAGAAGATGCTGCAAAATCAGCCTGTTTCGGGACTGCAGTACCCTGTTCCTTCGCAGCATCAACTGGTAAGGTTGTTTCCTAGCATAGAAATAGTTCAATATATTCTTAAAGGCTTTCACGGCCAGGATCTGATGGTTGTTGTAGGTTTCTCGGGCTGTTTTCAGAAAAAAAAACCAAACGGCCGAAAAATTTACAACAACCGTAGAAGTAGTTTGTTGGGAAATAAGAGAGCTGTTGGCTATCTCCCGTAGGACAAAATTGGACAATAATGATTCACTCTTTAGTGATGATGAGGGGGGAGCATTTTCTTAAACATTAAGGCATGTTTCACTTAATTTCAAGTGGACAAGCTCCCTCTGCTGAGGCTGTGGCTCCTTCTGTTTGTTGTGATGAGTTTCCATAAGAGGAGCCCAATTTTGACCAGTGCTTCAAAATATGAGAAACTGTTTGATTGTTTGTTTGGAGTCTTGTAGTGTAGTAGTTAAACTACAGTGCTGCAGTCAAGACTCTGCTCGTGACTTGAATTTGACAGGCTCAGGTTGTAGTGTAGTAGTTAAACTACAGTGCTGTAGTCAAGACTCTGCTCGTGACTTGAGTTTGACAGGCTCAGGTAGCTGGCTCAAGCCTTCCAGAAATGAAGTGGAGCTAGGAACTTTCTGGGTAGGAGGGTCTATAACATCATCTGCCAGAAAGCATAAGAAATGTATAGTTCACCAGGTATTTCTGTGTGGTAACATCATCCCACTCTCTACTTTCTGATGAATGTCTTGCTCCAGTACCATCTGAAGGGCAAGGCTGTGTTATCCTCTGTGCTGGCCATGAAATATTGCATTAGAGTATAATGGGGTTTTATTTTGTTTGTAAAAGAAATGTTGAGTTAATTCGATAAATGTCTGTGACTCCCCTTCTTTGGCAGACACTGGCATGTAGCAATGGCATTCTGTATAATTTATTATCTGTTTGTGAGATGCTAGTCTGAGTTCAGCAGATTCACAAGAAAGTTACGTAAACGTTTTCCGGCAAAAGGATTTCTTGTTTTAAAGAAAAGACGATCCTCTGGTTTGTTGTGTGGAATACATTGAAGCCATGCTTTCTGAAAACAATTTGCTTACCTCGTATTGGATTTAAGATGCCAGATTCTGGAATACAGAAGAAGGGACGTCTGGCATACCATAGATGCACAGAATGTCGTCCATCCCCCCACCCCCCGTTGTCTTTCATACATTTTTTAAAAAATATATATACTGCTTTCACAGACTGCATCCCACAAGTGTCTCAGCAGACAGTATATTTGCTGAACCCTATTCAGCCACGATGATGCTCTTGCAAGAGTCTGTCAGTACAAGAGGAGACAATGGAGTCTTCTCATAAATGTTCCTAGTCTGGGATGTTATACGAGAAATAATTGTTTATGTTGTTGCAGCGTTCTTAAGCCACAGCCAGGCGTGGTTAAAAGCACCACTCACTCTTGCTCTGGTTTTCCTTTTAAATTGCTACCAAGAAAGTTCACTGCAAGGAGGCCAAAGTGGTAAAATTATGACCAACCAGGGAACAGAAATGGTGATCGCACAAACTTTCAGCAACCCTTGCAGACATTCTGGATTAATGTCCTAGGACTTGCATCATGGAGGGCTACAGTCTGACCTCCTATGTTATTTAAATTAGGGTCACACACACACACCCATGGCACGTTAATGCATAGGCATCCAGTTGGTGGATATTTACTGATTATCAGTAGCACACTACAAATAATTTTATTTGGGGCACCCCTGTTTTTGAGTTAGCTTACAGATCGCTGAATCCTGCTGTCAGCAGAATATATTGGTGCCCTCCTGGACACCAATAACATTGTTTACATTGGGACAAAAGCTACACGTAGCTGAGATTTTTGAATTCTAAAATCTTGGCTCTCTTTTTTTCTGGTTGTATTTTTTTTTACATCTAAACATGTAATAAAGAAATGTTTAAATACACAGTACTTCCCACTACCAGGACCATTTGGGTATAGTCACCTGTACCATTTATCCTAGGGCAGCCGCATCTCCCTACCAGAATTGTATTGGTGCTTGCACTGGGCTTCATCCCTTCCCTTTTATTAATACAAAACTGAAAAAGCAAACCTGTGCTGCTTATATACTGCCCCTTAGTGCTTAAAGCACTCTCTGGTCAGTTTACGATTTAATTCTGTAGTAGGCTACACATTGTCCCCCACCCCATAGCAAGCGGTGTATTCAATTTACCAATCTTGGAAGGATGAAAGGCTGAGTCAACCTTGAGTTGGCTACTTAAACCTGTTAGGATCAAACTTGGGTCGTAAGCAAAACTTATAGACTGGTTGTTCCTATGCGCTGTCCCATTTATGCCATGAATGAAGGTCTTCCGAGTTGTAATTTGATACACTACCAACTCTAGCCACTATACTAGACTGGCTGCCTTTGAGATATACAGATTGAGGAGATGGAACAAGGGCAGGGGTGTTCTCCTGCAACTGATGCACAGCATTGTCGATTGTGGAAGATCTCTTTTCTCAGGTTTCGCTAGGTCAAAGTTTCATTTCGAGTGGTGGAATGAGAGTTGTATGAAATGTTTGGTTTCTTTCCCATAATTTCTGTGTCACATATGGATCTGCACCTTTGCACTGTGATGTCTTGAAACCTTCTACGTAAAGAGGGTTTTGGCTCTAGCATGTGTGAGCTCCCTTCCTTAGTTCTGTTTGATAAAGGTAAAGGTAAAGGTTCCCCTTGGCAATTTTTGTCCAGTCATGTTTGACTCTGGGGGCAGTGCTCATCCCCGTTTCCAAACCATAGAGCCAGCTTTTTTTGTCCCAAGACAATCTTCCGTGGTCACATGGCCAGTGCGACTTAGACACGGAACGCTGTTACCTTCCCACCGAGGTGGTCCCTATTTATCTACTTGTATTTGCATGCTTTCGAACCGCTAGGTTGGCGGGAGCTGGGACAAGCGACGGGAGCTCACTCCATCACATGGATTCGATCTTACAACTGCTGGTCTTCTGACCCTGCAGCACAGGCTTCTGCGGTTTAGCCCGCAGCGCCACCACGTCCCTTGTTTGATAAAGGTAGTATTTTATTTTCCTTTTATGCACAATTTTCAGCAAGTCTCAGTCTTGTACAATCCCCTTTGCTTCCCACTTTGTTTGTACACAAGGTGATTAATTTCTTTCATTTGCTGCTTGTAACAAACCATGGTTTCCTGTATGATTTGCATCTGGGAAACAGTGGTTTGTATAAACTATATAATGAGATAATAAACTAGGACAATAAATATCTATAATGCCATTGCATGTATGGTGACATTTGGGGATAGGGCTTTTGCTCGTCCCCCCTCACACACACACACACACCGAAATAACTTTATACAAGTTCAGTCCTGAAAAAAGCTAAAATATATTTTGGGACACCGCTTTATCTTATACCCCTGGTAAAATAATTATTTCTCTTTGTTAAGAGTAAGAGTCATTTCTCTGTTTCCCATGAGGACTGTGTGCTGGTCCTGGGAGAGAGTGCTGGCATTAGCAAACTTCATGACTGCTTTTAGATACTCCATATAATCAATCCCCAAAAGAGTCTTTTAAGGAGAACTTCTTGGGAAACAAGGGAGTGAAAAAGTCATTTTTCTTTCTCCCCCACTTTTTCGGGGGAGGGGTGGCTGTCATATTCTGTGTTTTCTCTGTATTGGACAGACCCTATGAAAAGTTTATCCTTTCCCAGATTTCTCTGTGCTCAGTGGAGTGTGCACAAATGGTGGACACTTTGCAAAAACTGTAGGTGTTTTTACATACCCTAATCCAGGATGTTTGAATTTAGCTTGAAAATAAGGTACATGCTTCCTTTGGAAGCTTTGTTTTATGGGGCTATTTTATTTTAGTTTGATGACATGGCAGCAAATTATTAGGGTACAAATATCTGGAGCTAACATGCAGCCCATGACAAATATGGAGTCCATTCCCATTTTAAGAGCTGCTGAATAGCTCACTGGCTTAGGCATCTGACTGCAAAGTCTGAGGTTGGGAGTTCAATTCCCCACTGTGCCTCCTCGATAATCCATAGGGTCCCTTCCAACTCTGACAGTGCTCTATCACAAGGGGGCGGTGCTCATCCCCGTTTCCAAGCCATAGAGCCAGCGTTTGTCATAGACAGTTCTATGGTCACGTAGCCAGCACGACTAGACACAGAACGGCGGTTACGTTCCCACTGCAGTGGTACCTATTTATCGACTTGCATTTTTACATGCTTTCAAATTGCTAGGTTGGCAGGAGCTGGGACAAGCGACGGGAGCTCATTCTGTCGTGTGGATTCGATCTTACGTCGACTGGTCTTCTGACTTTGCAGTACAGAGGCTTCCACGGTTTAACCTGCAGCGCCACCACGTCCCTTAGCAGCAACATAGAGTCTGGAAAAAAAAACCCAACCCTTTTCATGTGTGCTGTGAACAGTGTGGAAAGTAAACCTTAGCAGAAATTGTGTCAATCACTACAGTTGTGGCGCAGTTTTGCTCCACCACTGAACAATGTTGCCACCCTACCCCACTTCTGCATGGGAATATTTCCTAATTAGCTGGGTTTCGCTCAGATTCCAGGGCCCTTATCTGGATTCGCTTCACGCCCATTTCCACAATCCAGCTATGCCACAGTCAGTTCTATACCTGCTCCTGATGCCTGAATGTACTCCTACCGCATGACGGGGGGTGGCCCTGAAGTCTCAAAGTATACTGAATACTGCTAAGTCAAGGTTGCTCAGGCCTTAGCAAGGCCTTAAAAATGACCCTTTGTGTCATGGCTTCCAGATCTATAAGCCCATTTTAAGGCCTCTCTTTCCTGCTGAACTACTAAGCCCAGTGATTCATGCAGTTCAAGAAAATTCTGCCCGCGTCTTGAAGCGATGGGAGAGCAAGAGAGGGAAAGAGGTTAACTCCAAATTATTTACTACATCGGGAACAGGAGCACGAAAGGAGCTGCATATAACCGTCAATCACCTTCTTTGTTGAGACTTCACGAGTGAGTGATGAATGGCCCTTCTGTCTAGAAATATCCAGCTACACTGTA